GCGGCCCCCCCCACCCACAGACCCTGATGGGCCCTGGAGGCTGCCTTGCCCACCCCTGACTTCAACCCTGTTGGTGTCCTGCCATCACATCTTGCAACCACTGTAAGATCCAAAGTCCTGCTGAGTTCAGGCTAAGGCATGTGTGGGACTTTTTTGGATCAGAGACTCTGACCCACAGAACAATCAGTGGGGTGCCACACACAAGTGAGACGTGTGAGGGGGGGAAGGACCACCCTCACTGACTTTGAGATGTGAAAAAGTATAGGATTAACCTATAAGCCAAAGCTTATTGCTTCATCTTCTGGATCAGAGGCAGCAGCAGCAGGGGAAGCTGGTGCTGAGGGGAGCCAGCTTAAAAGCTGGTCTCCCCCCTCCCCTCCAGCACCAGCTCTGTGGTGCCACCCTCTCTCCTCCTGCCAGAGGCAGTGGGGCCTGCCATGAAGCAGCCTTTGCCTATGATGGGCCCTGGCTCACTGTGGGCAGAGGCTGCGTTGCAGCAGTAGCAGCAGCCCCTGCCTGCAAGGGGTCCAAGCTCCCTATGGACAGAGGCTGGCACAGGCCCAGGAGCTAACCCCACTGCAGCTCTGCTTTTTAAATGGATTAAGAACCTGTCGACAATGCATTTAAAAGGCTAAAGTGCAGCAGGAGGGATCCAGCATGAGCTGGGTGGGAATCAGTTGGTGCTGCTGTGAGAAGTGTGCGCACTGAGCCTTGTGGGCCAGATCAAGGCAAGCCATGGGCCTGGTCTGGACTGTGGGCCATAGGTTCCACACCCCTGAGCTAAGGGATAATACTGTGTCTGTGTTGTTACCAAGAAGAGCTTTCAATCAGGTTAACAGCTGGGGAAAAGGCATCTTCACACACACACATACTATCTAAATAAGGCCTGTAACTGGGTGGGCCATTCCATGATTTTGGTAAGTGGTCAAGGGCCTCATTTCTGTAGGGCGCACAGGATCTGGTACAGTGGGTAGGGTGTAAAGGAGAGCTTGGGATAGAAGAGTGTAGTGCAGGAGAGGGTGTGGGGTTTGAAGGAGTTTGGGAGAAGGAGGGGGTTGTGATCTGGGGCTTGCGGTGCAGGGTCCAGGAGGGGTTATGGGTGCAGGAGAGGATTCTGGCCTGGGAGAAAGGGTTTGTAAGAGGGGGTTCAGGGTCTGGGAAGGAGTTGTGACCTGGGAGAAGGGGCAGGGAAAGGGTTTGGGTGGTGACATGGGACAGAGGCTTTGGGTGCAGGGTCCAGGAGCTGTATGTGTGCAGGAGAGGATTCTAGCCTGGGGGAGGAGTGCAGGGTCTGGAAGGGAGTGGTGACTGCAGAAGGTGGGGAAAGAGGATGCAGAGGGTTTGGGTGGTGATGGGAGGGCAGGAGCAGGGAGGGGTTATGGATGCAGGAGAGGATTCTGGCCTGGGGGAAAGGTTCGGGAGGGAGTGCAGGACTTGGGAGGGAGGAGTGACTGGAGGAGGTGGGGAGAGGGGATACAGAGGTTTTGGGTGGTGGCTTGGGCCAGATAGCTGAAGGGAAGAGAGGGGCCAGGGTGCCAGAGGCAGGCTGTGGCTGGGAGGTGCTTATGTAGCTGGCTTTCAGACAGCAGCTCTCCACCAGCCTGAAACAAACTCCCTGCCTGTGTGCTGGGGTGCGGGCAGAGAGGGCCACTTCAAGTGGCTTTGCTGGGTGAGGGGAGAGTGAGGAAACTTCATTAGCTGCCCCTGCCTTCAGCAACATTTCTCAACTCTTATAGGCCAGAAATTGGCCAATGGGAGCTTGGGGTGTTTGCTAGGGGGCCAGGACAGTGTGGGAAGCTCTCTCTTCCCTGCCCAGCTTGCGGAGAAATTAGCTACAGCTGTTCTGTTGTAGTAAGTGTGCTGGGCAGGGAGCCGTGGACCAGATCCGGCTCGCTAGATGCCTCTTGCCCACTCCAGCCTGTAACTTTATTTTACACAGCAAATGTGCTTTCATGCCTACCTTGTACTGTGTTGAGAGTGCTAAGCACCTGATTCAAAGTCTATTGAAATCCATGGGATTCTTTCCACTAAATTCAGATCAAACTGTGAGTAGGGATCCCTAGTCGACTAGTTGCTTCCTCTGCCATTGCTGCCTCTACAAGACAGAGGCAGGGAGGGGCGGAGAGAGACTGGGGTGCTTCAAAGTTGCAGTGTCGCGTAGACCCTGGACTCAGCTGGGGACTCCCCCACTGACCAGGGACTCCATGTGGCGCTGCTGCTTTGAAATGCTAGAGAAGCACGGCATCAGCACTTTAGCCTTTGAAGCGTAGCAACAGCCCCAGGGCTGCCGCTATGCTTCAATGCTGGAGGCGCCCTTATCGATTATTCGATCAGCCCATTCATCTAAATTTAACATCCCTAAGTGTAGGCTGTCTTTTAAGAAGCTAGCGTTCCTCACTTTGAAACGGTTTGTTTTCTCTATTGTTCACCCATGTAGACATGTTAAAATTAAACCCTTTTTTATGAAGGTTGTTAATTACTCCCTATGTGTGCATAAGTCTCATTGTTCACTTTAGGAAAAACAAATTTGTTTAATCTGATAACACAATTTTTTAAAAAAACCTTTATTTTTTAACTGTCTTTATCTGTATTACAACCTACACCCTAAGTCACTGATGCACAGACTAGCTTGCAAGCTGCAAGTGTCCATTTAATCTGCCTTGTGCAGCTCTTTGGAGCTCATATTAAAACACTGATTTAATTATTAATCCATCAGTATGCTCTTAATGTCTTATTAACCAATTAAGTTATTTGCTATAAGAATAGTAACTATTTTCCCTATCATACTGTTTATATATGAAGAGTACTATAGCAAATGCAACAGTTAATTCACACTATTGTGGCTCTTTTGGGTAATGTTGATTACTAATTTGGATCCTGAACCACTGAGGTCCGAGTATCACTGCCATAAAGACCATTATAACACACTGAAACAATAAATAGTGAAGACTTATATTTCTGCATTTTGCTTATCTTAGGGGGTAGAATAATTGCTGGTTGTGCACTGAAACAAAGCTGCAATATTAGGGTTGTAAATATTAATGGCCAGTGTTGCTACTACTTGATGAACCTCTCTAGTCTGGTCTGGCAGCATCCATGGTCAGGCATGATTTTAGTCAGCCAAATGTCTGCTTATCCTGGGAGTGGCTAAGTTTCCATAAAGTTTGTTTACAGCCACTAGTCGTGGTTCTTGGTATTCTATCAGGTTGTTTAGCTCTAATTTAACCCCTAAATGTTTTCCAAGGGTATGTCTACACTGCATTCCTCTTTTGAGAGAGGAATGCAAATGCAGCCAAGTGAAATGACAAATGAAGTGTGGATTTGAATTTCCCACGTTTCATTTGCATAATGGCATCCAGGTGCTTTTTCGAAATACCCTATTTAGAAGGAAAAACGCAGTCTAGACGGGGTTATTTCAAGAAAAAAACCTTCTTTTGAAATAACCGTTACTCCTTTAAAAATGAGGTGTAAGGATTATTTCAAAAGAACGTGGGTTTTTTTCAAAATAGGGTATTCTGTCTAGACTGCAATTTTGCTTTCAAAATAGGATATTTTGAAAAAATGCCTGGACGCCATTATGCAAATGAAGCGCAGAAAATTCGAATCTGCGCTTCATTTGCAATTTCACTCAGCTGCATTTGCATTCCTCTCTCAAAAGAGGAATGCAGTGTAGACGTACCCTAAAAGCCCAGTAAGCAGTAGAAGTGTTGGTAATGCTACTAGTTAATATTTGATCTCCCATGGTCCAACAAATTCTCTGGTTCAGCATGAGTCAGGTCCCTACGGTGCCAGACTAGAGAGATTCATCCTGTACTGATTAAGAGAGTAGGAGCAGGTCCCTGATTGTGTTTGCACTGGCTGGCTAACTTCAGTCACTTTTATTCCTGGGTCATCAATGTTCAACTGGATTCTGGCCTTTGGCTTTTGTTTTTATGCCAATTAACTAACATGCACTTGTTTGTGCAGTACTACAGCTATCTTCAAGCCGGTTCAAAGGCCACTTCTTCCCTACTCATTAGGCACACTGCACTGTAGAAAACTGTAGTCTGCTGTTCACATGCCAGCATACGCTTTCCCAGATCATTACACCTGAGGATGAGAAAGCACCTTACTGATGGAAGCATCTTCCACATCAGCAAAGACTTCCCTTTACACAGTCCTTTACTTTGTTGATGCTGGTCCCAGGAGAATGAGGAGTCTAGATGATTGAGGTAGTAGTATCTTCTGCTTGACCAACTTCTGTTGGTGAGAGCAGTTATTTAGCTGACTTACTGGTGGTGTTAGAACTCAAAACTCTCTTGGCTTACAGTTGCAGAATGGAATTCAGCTCCTCCTGAGATTCAAACACTACTAGTCTAATTTAGCATATAATAATAATAAAAAAGTCATTATCCTGGCAGCATAGTCTAGGTCAGCAGTATAAAAAGTTTGAAAGGTTACATGCTGCTATAAGAGCTGTTCAGAGAGAGCTATGAGACCCAGTTTCATGAACCCAAACTTACACCGGATAGATATCCACCTCCTTTTATATTAAGTCTTAACCAGTGTGAGAGAATGCTGATCCAAGAGCAAGAAAGTCATGTTCCAGAGCATTAGAAAATATATTCCCAGGCTTTCATTTTTCTAATGACGTACAGCTTTTATCTTCAGTTAATATGCGATTCGGGTACATAGGTAGTAAGGGAATCCCATATTTCAGATTACCATCTTGCCGTGCTTTGGTTCTGATATGATTTTTAGTGATTATTAACTTAGAAACATCTAGAGCAGTGTTTCTTAAACTTTTTAAGATGAAGGAACACCAAACAATAATTTTTATGAGAAACACCAAGGATTTCTTGAGGGGGAAAAAAAAAAGGCCAGGGAAAAGTTATTGAGCAAAAAAAAGAAAAATAGGGTCGAGGGGAACGTTACTGATCAAAAAGGGGCAGCCATTTTTAACTCTTGTTCTCCGCAGCACACCTCCGACTGCCTTGCAGTACACCAGTGTGCCTTGGAACACAGTTTAAGAAACACTAATCTAGAGCACTAAACCTATTTTCCCAACTGATTTTTATAGAATCTAGTGATCATTTATTTCTTTAGTTTCCCACTAGCTAGGGACCTGGGGAACCTCTATACAGGCCTCACCCTGAGACAGTCCTGTGTCCCTGGGGTGGGGCACCTTTATTCTTTTTCTTGTTTTTTAATGGTAGGGTGACCAGATGTCTGGTTTTTTACTGGAAAGCCCAGTTGGAAAGGGACCTTTGTGGCTCTGGTCACTACCACTGACCCAGGCTGTTAAAAGTGCAGAGCTGGTACCATGGTACACTCCAGAAGCAACCAGAAATTCCAGCTCCTACTTGGGAGTGGGGCCACAGGGCTCTGCATGCTGCTCTCATCCTGCTCCCGTTGGCTGGTTTCTAGCCAATGGGAGCTGGTGGGGGACAGTGCCCATGGGCAAGAGCAGCATGCAGAGCTCCCTCTCTGTCGTCTAGCTGCCAGACCTACAGGCTTGGCCAAAGAGCGTGCGGGGCCCAACACAGCAAGCTGAGCAGCAGGGCTGGGAGCTGGGCAGCGCGGGGCCCTGAAAGTGGACAGAGCCTCAGGACTCAAGGCAGCTGCCTTGCTCGCCTTGCCCAAAGGCCGGGCCTTAAGATCTGGGTACTTTTGGGGCCCACCATGGAGCTAGGACAGGCAGGGAGCCTGCCTTACCCTTGCTGTACTGCTGTCAGGAAGCCACCAGAGGCCAGACTGTGCCCCAACCATATGCCTGAGCCCTACGCCCCACAAACTACAGCCCTCTCCTGCACTGCGAATCCCTTGGTCCTACCCCCTCTTGCACCTCAAGCTCCTCATACCCAGCCTTACCCTCTCCTGTACCCCAACTCCTTGCCTCAGCCCAGTGAAAGTGGATGAGGGTGTGGGAGAGTGAGCCACTGAGAGAGGAGAATGTAGTGAGCAGATTTCGGGGCCTTATGGAAGGGGCTGGGCTAAGGTGTTCTGTTTTGTGGAATTAGAAAGTTGGCAATCCAAATTAATTGTTATCTTTTAAGTATATATTTAACATCTTCCAGCAGTGGGGGAGCCATGCTTAGGAATATCTGGATTTGCTGAGTATGTACTTGTCACAGGATGTGCGCATAGCCTCGAGTAGGGGGTTTTCAAACTTTGGGTTGCGGCTTGTAATGTTAAACTGCTAGCTGGCCGCGAGATGCTTTATTTTCCTAAGTGTTCAGAGGCATGACTGCTTGCAGTGGACGCGGTATATTGTTCCCAATCAATGGGAGCTGCGAGTGGACATGCCAGTGGACACTTAGGTAAGTGAAGTGTCTTGCGGCTAGCTAACAGCTTATCCTTACAAGCCGTGACCCAAAGTTTGAAAACCGCTGGCCTAGAGTACAGTATGTATGAGTGAGTTAAGACCTTCTTTGTGTGGTGCAGTCTTGACAAACTCTAGCTAGAGAAACAGATTCATCTGACTGCAGCCAGTTTGCCTTGCTGGACCATCCAGGAGGGAGGAAGATTTTACTTACTTGCTGCAATTGTTGGCTAGGATCATATTTAGATCCTGTTGTAGTTTTCAGTAAATTGTTATAATCACTTGGTCTCTCTTGAACTTGAGGGAAGGGCAGTTTGTTATGCACTTTACCATCAGTTTGGTGTAGATTACTCAAGCACTAGTATTTTATGGTGTTTGGTTTATTTGAACTAGCAGTGGGAGCTACTTGCTTTTGTTGACAGTGTTAATTTTTGCCACCTTTTCTCAATGCTTTTCTTTGTCCATGCATTCCTTGGAATACTTTTTTGCCAGTCATAAAAAAAAAAAAATCTCTGGATATGAGATTTTTCTTCAAGTATTCTTACAAAGACCTGATATTAAGATTATGCATTGTGTAACACTTCTTTGTAGTGTAATGTGAAGACTTCACATTATTTAGTGAAGAGAAATCCATGCTATCAAGTTCACTGTAGAGATATCTAATATAGGATGACTAATTTTTATACATGCATGTATGTGGAGGGCCCACTGTACAGTAGTGGGCACTTGGCACAAAGTTTCCATCCCAAGGAGAGTTACTGATTTTTCGTTTGTTTTCTCCAAAAGGGAGAAGTGCCAGGGAAATCTGCTAGGAACTTTACTAATGCACTTGCTTGCCACATAAAATCCCTTGAATTGTTGTAATGGGTGGGAATACGAACTAGGGATGTTAAATATCGGTTAATTGAATAGACGAGTAACCTCACGAATTCTTGTCGGTTAGTCAACTATTCTATAGTCCCCGGGGGCGGGGCCAGCAGCCGCTGCATCAGAGGCAGCAGTGCAGGGTATCAGGTGGGAGCTGATCCACGAGGGGAGCCAGTTTAAAAACCAGCTCCCCTTGTGGACTGGCTGCTTGTTGCCCGGTGCTGCTGCTGCTGCCTGATAAAGAGGCAGCAGCATGTGTTGGCAGCAGTTCCTGCCTAAGGTGGGTCTGAGCTCTTGGACACAGCACAATCCAGAACTGAGCCAGGCTGCCTGCCTGCTAATATACTTTAAATGCAGAGCTGGAGCAGGGGTAGGTTCTGGACCTGGTGTGAGCCAGAACTGAGCTGGGCTGCTGGCCAGCCTGCTAAAAAATTTGCTGGCAAGGATGAAGGGAGGGAAATGCATGTAGTCTATAGCATTAACCTATAAGGTTACTATTGACTGTACTATTACATTCCTAATACAAACTGCTAAGATGGATACATATTAAAGCCATTGCTGCAGCTTCCAGCTCTTGGAAACCAATGCTTATGTAGCTGATACTTTTTCTGACGTTCCTGGAGTGAAAAGACTCAGGCACAATTAAATGATATACATTGGAAAACAGCTCACTTAAGAGGAAAAAAGGACTTAGAGGGATGCTGAATTAATTTAGAGAAAATATTTCATCTCTCACAGGTATCTTGCAAACCATTACTCTAAAAGTAACTTGCAGGAGATCCTTATAGTAATTCTTCATTTTTGTCTATTTGTCAGGTGACCAAAGATTTGACGTCATGACTGGAATACCCAAACTTTGCTATTTTAATGGGAGAGGCAAAATGGAATCGATTCGTTGGTTGTTAGCAGCCGCTGGGGTTGAGGTTTGTTTTGGTAACCTGACCTGTGTGTATACCTGTCTCATAGGCCAACCTTACAGCTGTGTTAGTTACACAAAAAAATAAAGTGGAATTTACTGTATGAACAAAACAGCAGTTCTTAACACCAGCATTAGATGTTACAGGCAGTCCCCGACTTACGCGGATCCGACTTATGTTGGATCCGCACTTACGAACTTACACAACCCCCGGAGGTTGGGGTGGCGGATTGCTACCTGCGAGCTCCGGGGCGAGAAAGCCCTGTTCGTAAGCTGCTCCGGTGCCCCTGGCCTGCTGGAGACCGTCTCCAGCAGCCCAGGGGCACTGGGCGGGTTCCCGCGCTTCTGAGGCTTTGCCAGAGCAAAGCCTCAGAAGCGCAGGAACCGCTGCTGCTGCCGCTTGAGACCCGGTGCCCGTG